GAGAGAGGGCCAATGGATGGTGGAGCTTCCTGTGCTTGAAGAACATAAATGAGAGGGGGAAGGGACCCCAAGTCCAATTAAAGAGGGAAAAGGGCTGCAAGAGGGAGAGCATGGATGGAATTTAGAGGAAATACTGGTTTCAGCTGGGGGAGGGGGAGGGGGAGCAGCAGGGAAAGCTGCCTGCCTTTCTTTACCATCGTGTTCCTTGCCCAACTCCAGCAGGATAATGGCACACAGATGCTTAAAAATGTTTCTTGTTTTTATAGATGCTTCTGATAGGTTAAAATGCGCTACAAATGGGGAGGTTTCCATCAATAGGACATAATATTCATGGCCTGTTCATTCTGCAAGTGTCTGAGTACCATGTGCAAGGTGCTGGGGATTTGGAGGTCAGGTGAGAGCTTAGAGGGCAAGGGGAAATGAGCGGGCCCAGACAACAGTATGGGAGGCAGTAACAACAGTGCACCTGTAAATGCTGTGGGGATGCAGGCAGGTGGCCGATCATTCCTCTGCATTCCTTCCTTCCCGCTCTGCCAGCCCCCCTCTCTGCTGGGCTCTGGACATCCAAACAGGAACCACAGGCAGGGCCTTTCTCTGTAGAGTCAGTGCAGTCTGGAAGAGGTTCTCAAGGTGTGGGCCCTGGACCAACAGTGCCAGCCTCACCTGGGAGCTCGCTCAAAGGCAGACCTCTGGCTGGCCACAGGCCCACTCTGTCACAGAGCGTGGGAGTACTGCCCAGCAGTCTGGGCCTGTAGCCCAGGCAGGCAGCTCTGGCACCCAGCCCAGGGAGAGGAGCAGTGGGCCAGGATGGCTCTCAGGTTGCTTGCCACGCATTTGAATAATGTGGGAGCTTTTTAAATTGAAACATAGACATACTATTCTGTTAGAGTTTCAGGTGTACAACGTCACGATTTGACAATTATATATGGTAGTAACTACACATGGGGCCTTCAAAGCACCAACGCCCTGGCCACACCTGAGCTGACTAGGTCAGCTCTGGGAGGGAGACTCGGGCATCTGGAATTTTTTAAGTTCCATTGTGTAGCCACAGTTGAGAACCAGTGGTCTTCACACACTTAGATCAGCATCATGAGGTGTGAATGTGCCAGTACCTGCCAGTCCTCAGAGCGAAGGGAACCTGGAGGAGGGGCCGGCTGGCATTGGACTTCCTATTTGGTGAGCTCTCCATTCCTGGTTCCCTTTTTTCTGGACATTGCAGTTGCACAGATGTCAGTGTGATTAAGGAGGTTACTTTAAAATTCATTTAATGCAATTAATTTTTAAAAGTGGAACACAGCTGGCTTCCCCTAAAAACTTTGTATTTCGATAATGGTTGTTACCAGTACCATGAATAATTAACTAATAACAGCTCATTAATATTCTATTGGGAGAGTGCCTCAGGCTAATAAAATACATTTTAAAATTCGTTTTTAAAAATGTGTTGCTGCAGCCAAGGATAACAGGAAGTTACTCCAAACAAGAGAAAATGAGTGAAATATGAAATTGTGTGCTGTTCTGTTAACATGAAATAGTTGTTCAGCTGCTCAGTATCCTTGTTTCAGTCTCATTTCCCATAGGGAACAACTGCCCAGGAAAAGGCCTCAGTTTCAGGGGCACACATGACCTGAAGGCTGTTGTCCTGGGAAGCATTACTGCATCAAGAATGGGGCAGGAGTGGCTCTGACATAAGTGCCCCTTGTCCTTCTTCTGGGCGGGATACCCCTGGGAAGGTGTCTCCTACTTCCCCTTTGTCTGTGGGTCCCTCCCAGGGTTCCACACTTGGGCCACATTTTTAAAAATTAAACTTTCTGTCTTGAGGTCATTGTAGATACACAAGCAGTTATGAGAGGCATTGCAGAGAGAGCCCATGTAGTACCTTTTACCCAGTTTCCCCAGTGGTACTGCCTTTCAGCACTGTAATACACCAGCACAGCCAGGATGTTGACACTGGTCCAGTCAAAAAAGAGAACATTTTCATCACAAGGATCCCTCTTGCTGCTCTTTTCTAGCCACCCATTTCCCTCTCACCCCTCTCTCCTACTCCCTAGCAAACCTTCTCATGGGGCTCAAAGATAAAATTAGGTCTGTGGTTAGAGACAATAAGTGTTACACATACAACATAAGGAACAAGGAACAAGAGATGACTGGGTAGGAAAATGACACTTCAAGATTTCAGGCCATATAGAAAGGCTTCCTTTTGGAACCCAATTCAGCATTAACTCTTGATTATGCATGTTTTTAGAGCAGGTCTGCTGGTATTGTTAGTGTTCATGTTTTAAGTTCACTTGCCCTGGCTCTATTAATCATAGTCTACCTCGGTTCCTCTGACTGTATTGCTGTAGTGTTAATAAGTGGTTAAGTCCATGGCCTTGTAACAAGTCCCAAACAATCCCCTGTCTGGTTTGTGTTCCACTCCTTCTTTCTTCAGGAGAAGGCAGCCCAGGGCCTTTCAGCAGGGACCTCTGGAGGGTCAGTGAGAGTCACAAGGTAGAAGATGGAGATGTGAGTTATGTGGCTTCTCTTCACATGGATGTTCTGGAAATGTTTGCTTGACTCTAGTCTTGCCATCAGGAGGGGCAGATGCTGTATGGAGGGGTGAGGCTGTTCCCCAGCTTTACCCACCCAGCAAAACTCTCAACCCTGATTGAACTCTGAGATCTTTCGTATTCACATGTGTCCCGAAGCAGCTAACTGTGAAGGGTGAGAATCACGGGAGTGAACTGCCAGGCTTCTCATTCAGAGCTGTCTGGTATGGTAGCCACCAGCTTCATGTGGCTAGTGAGTGCCTGAAATGTGCCCAGAGTGACTGAGGAAATGAGCTTTTAATTATGCTTAATTAAGAATAGCCACATGTGGCTCATGGCTGCCATATGACAGCATAGTCTGCAGGTTACTGACACTGGGCTGTTTGAGTTCCTGTACCCCCCCTCCGTGGCACCAAAGCAGAATTGCTTGGCACGGTTGTGCCCAAGGTTCTCTGGCTATTGCCCTTCCCCACCTAGCATCAGCCTCTCAGACAGTGTGGAGCAAACATTTCCAAACTGTCAGTTTGATGAGGCAGCAAATAATTAGCCTACCTAGGTGGTGGCCGTGTCTGTGCCCAGCTGACCTGTGCTTGGCTCACAGTGGTACTTACTCGATACTTCTCTAGTAAGTTAGATAGGTCTCCAAATTTGCAGGCTCATTCCTGGAACAAGGATGGGATTTGTTCCCTACATTTGATAACTGGGTCACAGCTTTTTTTCATGGGCACAAAGATCAAGCTGTTATATTTCCTCCTTTGCCGGAGAGCCACACAGGAATGCAGTAATAAGAATGTGGGTCCTGGCGTCAGGTTCTTGTGTTGGAATCTGTCTTCTCTACTTTCTGATGTTGTGACCTCAGACAAGTAAATTAACCTCTCTGTTCCTCCCTTATTGCACCTATGAGGATCATGATAGTATTTCCATCAACCTAGGATGATTGGGCCAAGTAAAGCCAGGCAGTGCGTGTGGTCCATAGTAACTTCTTGCTCACTCAGTTGCTCTCTAGTATAATGAAGCAGATGACCACGAGTATGAGCAGGATAATGAAGATTTTCTGGAAAAGAAATGATTTGGAAGTGTGACTCTTACAAGCGCCCACAAGGGGGCAGTCTAAAATCACACATGTCCCCATAACAGATTTCTGTTTGTAAAGCCTCAAGGTAATGTGACTAGTTTCAAGTGTGCTTTTCCCTCAGATATTCTTTCTCCCTTTCCTTCCCTTTTATTTGAAGAATACTTTCAGTGGGGGTACCTTAGATATGGGGCAGGCGCATTAACATCTGGAGGGTAGCATATGCAATACAGAGTGAGGTGCAGGTTCTGCTTGAGCAGGCGAGTTGACAAAGAAGTTGACACAAGCCATTTGTCTGGGAGTACGAGGTCTCTTTGTAGCTTTTCACACAGAACAAATTCTTACTAATCAAACTCATGAAGTAGAGACTAGAGCCTGTATGTGTTTAGAGAAAAAAGAGACCTGGTTTTATTCACCTGCTCCCCATCCACTGACCTACATGCCTGCTTTTGAGCATTGTGTGTGCACCTTAGGGCCATTGTTGGGGGCAGGAGGGGGGTGCAGAGCTGAGTGACCCAGAGATGCATAAGCTGCCCTTGGCTCAGTGGCCTCTCCCTTCTGCCAGGGAGACTGAGTCAGAGGAGAACTCTGTGGCCAATCAGAATGAAATTAGGGCTCTGCCAACCATGTGAGAGCACAGAGCATCATGGGGTCTGGGGGCCTGTGGGGTCTTGAAAGTGGATGGGAGTTAAACAGGTGTGGGGATTGGGAGAAGGAACAGTTTGAGCAGATGATGTAGGGGAGGCAGTGCTGAGTTCAAGTTGGGGTCAGCCTGCGGTGGGACCAGCAGTGGTGAGCTGAAGAGTTGGAACTTTAAATTCTTGATAACTTCATGTTAATCATGATGATTAAGAGTTGACTACAAACAAACATGAGGGATGGCATTGGTGGTCCGGTTTTCTAGTACTTCATTCTTGGTCTTTAGTATCCCTGATATAAAATCCAGGCTGCAAAATCAGATGTTCATGGAGAATCGTGACAATCCATTGTTTATCACATCCATCCCCATCAGCATTCCTGCTGCCTGCACTGCTGTCCAAGCCTCTGGGTCCCTCTCCTGGATGGGGGCCAGAACCTTCCTGAAAGCAGTACAGGATGCTGTGGCAGGGAGGCCCACTATGCTGTCAGGGTCAGCATTGTACTAACACTAAAGCTGATTTTTCCAGAAGGACATGCTTAAACATTATATAAATAATACACCAATTGTGATGGAGTGAAATAAATTATTTCTAATCCTAAAATGACCATGAAGATCATTTAATCTTTGGTTTAGAAAGCCCTTTAGGATGGTGATGGATGACATGTGCATGTGGCCCGACCCAGGGCACCGGCTCAGCAGCTCCTGGCACTCAGCGGGTAGGACAAGTGTGGAGAAGTGTTTCATTGTGTTTTCTTTCCTGTAGGCATGGATGGATTTTTAAAATCAGATGAGAGACAAAGACTAGCTAAAGAAAGACGAGAAGAAAGAGAAAAACGTCTTGGTAAGTTGTGCACTTTGGCTAGTTAGGTTCAAGGTAGTGTAGATGTGGTAGTACCTTTTCTGAAGATCCTTAGAAATCTGACTAAATGGACGGCAAATTAAGACAATTGCTAGAAGAACATGAAGAATTGGGAGTGAATCTGCACTTCACCTGACACATTTACAAATGTTATATAATTCTCAGAACAGTTCGTTTGCTGTCCTAGCAAACATTGCGCCTTTGCTGTGTGTTCTAGGCACTGTGCTGGAGGCTGTAGATAGGATGGTGAGAAGGAGAAACCGTGGCTGCCCTGTGCCCACAGGCGTCCACTGTGTGTGCTCACCCAGGCTCCCTCCAGGGCACCTAGAAGGGCCATCCTTGGGAGAACTGAGAAAATAAGCACTTAAGACATTTTCTGTTAGGGCAGGGACCCCAGTTGAGAAAGGCTGTCTCACCTCTTGCAGGCCCTAGACAGACGAGCACAGAGTGCTCCCCACAAGGTGCTATGAGGAAGGTTGGTAGTGGTTTCCCCACTGAACTGAGACACATGAGGAGCTTTTGAGTTCTTGACTGCCTCCTGCTGATCAGCTCAGGCACTGAGCCCTCCAGGCAACCCTCCCCTGATTCAGCTAGGTGGAGTTAAGTGCCCCTAGTAAATGTCTTGAGGGGAAGGCCGATTGTATGCACGTGCTTGCCCCCTTGCCTAGCTCAGTGTCTGGTGCATGGTGCATGCACAGTTCACATGTTTTGAATGACTGTACCCTTAAAACTCACTTCTGAATCCAATGCATGGCTTAGCCTTTGGGACAAGTCTGATAATGAGCGCAGTAATACTCAAAGCTCCCACGTGTAGGGGCATTTACTGGGCACTTTCTGTTGCATTGCCTTGTTTTATCTTCACAACACTGTGATGTTGCAAATGTGACTGTCCCTTCTTCACAAAGGAGGAGACTGAGGCAGACAGATTATATGGTTTAGATGTCCAGGGTCACCCAGGTCGTGGCAGAGTGCCAGAGCCCTTCATCTCAGTCACTGCCACCTAAGATACCATGGGCTTTTTTTTTTGGTCTCCCTCTTGCCCTCTGCATTTTTGTTCTTAATCCAAATGGCGGGGGACACTCTGGTAATGACAGTTCTCTTCCACTTTCCTTCTGCCAGCTGCCCGGGAGCAGCAGATCCTGGAGAAACAGAAAAGAGCCAAGCTCCAGTATGAAAAGCAAATCGAGGAGCGCTGGCGGAAGCTGGAAGAGCAGCGGCAGCGGGAGGATCAGAAGAGGGCCGCTGTGGAAGAGAAGCGCAAGCAGAAGCTACGGGAAGAGGAGGTAAGTTCCCAGGACCCCCAGGCCATCTCTGCAGATCACACAGGGCTTGGTGCCCAGAGCATCTGAGAGGCCTCCCCAGCTCTGGGGTATGAATGATCTCTGCTCCTAAGCCTTTTCCAATGTGACTCATCATGCCTTCTTTGAGCAGCATGACACGATAGCATGGAAAGAGCACTAGAATAGAAACGAGGGTATTTATCCATTCATCTCAGGTGCTAATTTGCTGTGTGACCTTGGACAAGCCAGTTGACCTCTCTAGGCCTTGATTTGCTTGTCTCTGAAGCTAGAGGGGTGGATTTGGCAGTCTCCAAGGCCTTTTCCAGGCCTAACATTCTTTGATGCTAAGACTCAGAGGGGATGGTGGATAAGGGTTGGGTGATGTAGCCCTGGGGGCTATGCTGGGGGCCTGTGCTTCCAGGACAGACCCAAGGCTGAAAGAGGGGCTGTGAGCTTGGAGGATTACTTGATCCTGTTGTTCATCACTGGGAAGTCAAATAGTCTGCCTTCAAATACAAAGATGCTGGTCTATTTAAATTTTAATGCAGTTCCTTGCTTTAGTCATCCTTTCTCTCCATTTACCTTTAAAAAAAAATGGAGTGTAATTACCACTGCAGAGACCTTTACTGCTAAACTTTGAAATTGTATTTAGAAAGTATATCTGGGGTATAGATGTTTCTTAACAAGTGTATTTTAAGGATGTAATCATAGCCTTGTATCAGGTGATGATCATTTTTTATTCATAAGGTGTAATGACTCATCATTTAGTATGAACAATATAGAGGTTTATTAATTGCCAACACTATAGGATACAAAAATGCTGGTATAAATTCAGTATTTTTTAAAATCTCTGAATGGTTTATAACTGTATATCTTCACCACTTTTCTTTAATTTAAAAAAATGTGAATGTGGGCACACATGTGTACACACACAGAGACACACACACAGAGACACACACACACACACACACACACAGTTAGACCCATCTTTGCCCACAAAGCACTGATAATGGTGATTTGTTTGCTCCTCTCAGTAAATGAAGGTCATTGCAAGGGTGTTAGCCATTGTTTGCAGTTGCTGGCTGCAGCCTGATGGTTGCGCGGCTTCATCGGCTGCAGGTACAAATCCCAGCTCTACCACTAGGCAGCCAGGGACAAGTCACATAGTCTCTTATCACCCTCTCAGTTGGAGTCTCTTCAGTCCAAAACGGAGGTGGTCACAGGAATTAAAAGAAGTGACTTTTGTGGAAGTGCCCAGCACAGCACCAAGCACAGGGTAAAATGCTCACAAGTGTTAAGATTCCCTTCAGTGACTTCAGCTGACCTTGGCTTGAAGCAAGGTCAAGTGGGAGCTACCCAGAAAAGATACTGGCACAGAGACTATAGACTAAGAAAAAAGCCACAGTGTGATAGGCTGTTTCAGTAACCTAGGACAGATCTCTCCTTTTCCAGCCTATATTTGACATGAGTCACTGGACTCGCCCATTTTCTTTCCATCTTCCATCCTTGACTCACAGCTTGTCCCCTTCTTCCCTGGTTTCTCCATTTTGATTTCTGATATCCTGAACAACTGCTGATTCCAGAGAAAGCATGTTGCTTCTGCTCCCAGGAAAAAGCACTGTGAAGTCCCAGGGGAATCTTCCCAAGCCTCCGACACACCCAGCAATATCACAGGGGTCTGCCTTTGAAGCACTCCCTGTCTGTAATTTTTCTTTATTTAACACTAGTGCATTTTAAATCAAGCTATCATATACTCCCCTCTTGCAGGTGAGGGAATATCATGCCAGATGGTCAGTCCTCATGCATCTGAACCTCTAGTGGTTGCGCTTGGGATTGTTTTCTGTTTGCTTTGTATGTTCCCTTTCACCCCTGCCGTGGCGATGGCAGGGAGTGGGGGATGCTGCCTAACCCTCATTAGCAAAGACATAAGCCAGGCTTGCTTCCCTCTTCTCCCCATACACAACAGGGCAGGGCAGAGAGCTGGGCCTCTCCTGGTTGTGTAGCAACCCAAGGAAGCAGTGGCCTCCCTCTGCCACCTGCTGCCACCCTCAGGTTCCCGGGAGACCCAGGTGGAGCACAGGGACTTCCCATACACAGGCCAGTCTGTTAACCACATGCGTGTCAGTGTTCTGCTGGTGCAGAGCCCTGGCTGGCGTTCTTGTGGGTGATCTTTGGAGAGAATGGATAGATCTACACTGTAGCAGCCCCTTTCCAAAGGAAACCCTTTGTGTTTGCCACATGATTCCCTGGAGATCTTTTGGGGCACTTCTGCCTGCTTGACATATGGCTGTAGAGATTTTCCATTTTTTTGTTGGTGCCAGATTTAGCTGCCTTTTGTCACCAGGGAGAAATCTTTACAGGAATGTTTTTCTCCATTGTAGCCCATTTTTCTTCTCTAGCTTATTGGAAAGTATTTGGGTTGCCCTCTCTGGGTCTGATATGAGGAGGTCATAAAAGGCTCACTGAATGCCTGTTTCCCCCCCACACCAGCCCTCCCCCGGCTCCATGTTCCTAGGGTTGCCATGATGCTGCTCTTGCTAACTCCTTGAGTCCAGACCTGGCCAGCTAGCCTCAGAGAGAACCCCATGCCTGACCTGTCTGCCAGCACAGATGTGGGCCCCATAGACAGCCTGGCTCCCAGAGGTCTTGAGGGCTGGGAGGACCAGAGGCTGGTCTTGAAGAAGGGGGGATGTCCAGTGTCCACTTGAGATCCTGAACCTTGAACTTACTCTCTCACTGAAGGCTGCCTCCTCCTCAAGTGGATTCTTCTAATGCTCACATGCCACACAGCTCTGAAGCACTGAGCTTCTGGAACAAGCCCTGGCCACCTACCTGAGTTAGGGCTGACAAAACAGTGTGCTCACCCATTCTCCCTTCCTGACTAAAGGCCCTGGGAAATGGGATTTGGTGAAGCCAACTCCATGTTCCTCATGCTAAACAGGCAACCAGGTTCATCTCTACAAGTTATTTTGACACATCAGAACCTCTCATAGTCTTATTGCTTGATACCTCACAAAACCCACCAGGCTGAGTGTGAAAACAAGACCTGTCTGAACTCACCTAAACAAAACTTCACTAAGCTGAGAGCTGGCCTCTCTCAGAGGGTGTCCGCTGGCATGCAGCCATGGTGACTACATGGCCTTCTGGCCAGATATGGACATCTGTTTGTAGAGAGAAAGACCCTCTCTGCAGCCCCACTGAGGACCATTTGGGCGCCTATCCCCACACCATCATCCGCAGAACACATGTAGTAAGGGCAGTGGGCAGGCACAGTCAGCTCTCCATTCCTGCCGGAGCAGGAGCAGGCCGTCTGGGGAGCAGTGCCCACGGCACGCCCTGCTGGAGGCCTTTTACAGTGCTCGGCTGCTCAGCAGGTCACCTTGCTCATGATTCTCCTTTGTCATCCAGGCACACGTAGAGCCAGATCTCAGGGGCTTAAGGATGAAGTCCCCTTGTTCCTCCCACTAAGTGCCACCCAATAGAGGACATTCTAGGGGCAGGAATGTGCGTTGCCCTTTCCCCATCCTCTATGGATCATCAGATGATATTCAGGAGGATCACAACTTGGCAGGAATTTGGGTATGCAGTATGCAGCTCTAATATTCATTAATACTGTTCATCTGGTATGAATCGAATGTTCTCCCATGCTCCCAGGACCAACAGGACCAGCAGCGCCAGCTGCACCTTGGGAATTTGTCAGAAATGCAAATTCTCAGCAGGCTTCTGTGGAATCAGAAACTCTGGGGGTGGGGCTCAGCAATTGGTATTTTAACAAGCCCTCCAGGGGACTCTGATGCAGGCTCATTCAAGTTTGAGAACGGCTGCTCTAAACTGCCCTGTTGATAATCCTCCTCTTCAAATTCAGATTCAGTTAAGGACTTACTATGGTAGTCATTTACTTGTAGACTTGAGTGATCTGATGACACAGCTAAAATATCATTCCCATTTTATAGATGAGGAAGCTGATGCCTGAAGATGTTAAATAATTAGCTCAAGGTCACAGGGCTAAAAAGTGGCAGGTAGAGGTGGGATTTGAATCCACACCTCCTGACTCCAAATCTAGGATTCTTCCTATTCCATCACATGAAGGGACAGAAAGATGCACACACACTAGTTATATTGACCTGTATAGGACTGACTTCTAAAAAGAATGAAATGGACCAGTTTTGTTGCTGCATCTTTGCATCACCCCATTCTGATGACTTTGGGTTCCATAAGTCCCCTTACCAGAGAGCTTAGTTGCCACCTATCTTTCATCATCTCTCCAAGAGCAGGTGACACAAAGTGAGCCTTCTCTCTAGCTTCATTTTTATAAGTCTACTTACAATTCAAAGGAATGAATCTCTCATGGTAGAATTTGGAGCAGTTCAGTGGATTGGGGATGAATGGCAGAGGTATTTTTTCTAAAGGTAACCGAACAGTCCAGGAATAGATCTGGCTTTGGTGGGGGGTGGAGACCATTACCTTATATTTATGCCCCTACATAGCTACATGGTGGTAAGATTGGCCTGACAAGTGTTGATGTTCTTTGTTCTCATTGGTCTCATGAGGGACTATCTTGTAAGGTCCTTCTGGCTGGTAGAAAATCTCCCATGACCCAGGACTAAATTCACTCTGAAGTGAAAGGTTTCACTACTTAGACTAGGTCATTGGTTACTTTATGTTAGATCTATATAATGCAATACTGTGCAGCCCCAGTCTTGAGTGAGCATACCTCAAGCATCAAATAGTCAAGAAGTTCTGTTTCTTCCAACCCCTAACTTTTCTTGGACAGACCCCGCAGGGTTGGCTGTCAGAATTTAATGGGCCAACTTTGTGAGATGAGGACAGGACTTTGCCAGGAAATGCACACTCATGATTGTAGAGTTTCAGCTAAAAACTAGAGCAAATACAAACCTGAGATTTACAGGCGGAAAAAAAAAATCCCCTTTTTGCTCACAGGTCCTGGAGAGGCCATCTTTTAGCAAAGTGCTATTCAAAGAAAAATAATGCAGTAGAGGCTGAGATGTGGAGAATGTTCAGTTCATACCTCTGGTGTGGACAAAAGGGATAGATCCAGATACCACCTAAGAGACCTTTCTGTGTTTCTAGGGAAATAAAGGATCCTTAAAGTTGGTGCTTGCTGCCCTAAATTAACTGTGTTTGTTTGTTTGTTTTGTTTGTTTAAGCCATGAGAAAATGGTATCTTTTTGTTTTGGAGTTGGTCTAGGATTAGCAGTGTCTGGAGCACCTTAGGGTTGGGTTTTATGAGGGCAAAAGGGTGTCAGCATAGAATTGCCTGCCTTGCTTTGGGCCTTCTCTGGGGAGGCCGGGAGACGACTTGGTATTTACAGGATCATTTGGTGGCGGGGAGTGCAAAATTAGAGCAGCTTCACTCCAGTGCCAAGGAAATATTTGCCGGCAATCAGACCCAACTTTATGAAAACAACAACTTGGTTTATTCTGGAGAGGGCTTTTGATAAATGCTGTTAAGAAAGAAGCCTGGTGGTGGGGTTTTTTCCCCTCTTCTGGTAAAAAATGGTTTAGTTCTTCCTCCCTACCCCCCATCTAACTCTGAGAATGGATAAGTGCTTTATTTTGTGGCCAGAAGGTTCCCTACTCTTGTCTTTCTCAAATTTTGAAGTATGCAGTATCATTCTCAGAATACTATCTAGCAGAAACATGTTATAATGTTATAATGCAGAAAACAATTGATACCCCTTTAAGAAGTTCTAAGATGAAAATGGGGCTTTGCAAAATAGATCTCAGTCATATGTCACTGCAAAGACTTATGCTAAATGCTATAAAAATTCAAATTATATTTTAATTTAAATTTTCTTAAATCAGAATGTTTTTTGCTTTTCAACTAGAGAGGATGCTGTTGGTTCTAAAGCACAATGCCAATTCTAGGTATGTGCAGAGTGGGACCTGAGACAGGTCTTAAGGAGTTAATGCTTATCTGGCATTATTCTTAAACAAATGAAGGCCTGGCTGCAGTAGCAGCCTGTACCCTTGGGACTGAGAGGCAGCACTAGCCGCATTGTTTACTCTCCACCCACTAAGAACCACTGGTGTGGCCGAGAGCACGTGTGCCTGCGTCGAGATGCTGAGCCCAGAGAGCTCCATTGGGTGACTCACTCAGACACTGAGGCGTGGCAGTGCAGTAGGGCTGGGTGGTTAATCTTGCTCTCCCTTGCATGAACCGGGCAGGAACGACTGGAGGCGATGATGCGCCGGTCCTTGGAGCGCTCACAGCAGCTGGAGCTGAAGAAGAAGTGCTCGTGGGGAGTATCAGTGACCCCTGGGCCTGGGGGACGCGACGGTGAGTGCAGGGCTCTCCCTGCATTGCAGGGCCCTCCTGGGAGATCTCAGGGCGGGCAGATGATTATGGGCACTGCTAGTGCCCACAGGATCAGGGGGATGCTTTGTACCAATCTGTAGGTACCCTTTTCAGATATGATGTTTAAACTGCCAAGCTTCTTGTTATGCATTTCTTGTGAAAGGGAACTGCGTATTCTTTTTGCTAGCAATAACGGTTGCTATAATAACTGGGCTTTGAGGTAAAGCAGAAGAAAAAGAAAAAAGCAAAGGAAATGAATGCAGAGCCTGATTAACTGGATCTACCTGGCAAGCCCAGGGACAATCTGATTTCAGGGAAGGTCAATGGCAGTAGCCCAGATCACTGCTGCAGCATGACTTGGAAAGACTGAGCAGCAGTTACCCTCTAAAAGGAGCTGGGGTTTTTCCCTCCTCATTATTAATTTTTGTTGCTCTTTCAATTTTGTTTCAAGGTGACTTATTTATTTCATTATCCAGTTCATACTCATCTTTAAATTTTTGAATGTTTATTGTAATGTATGGATTCTTATTAGTTTCTGGGTGGCTTTTCCCTCTCTTCAGTGTCTTCTTTTCCATGATCTTGATATTCTGTTATGCAGGAGTTGTAAACTAGTTTTTTTCTGAGAACAAATGGGTTTACATTTGTAGTAGTTTCTTTACTTTGTTGTGCTTTTAACCTTTTGCCAGTGAATATACTTAATTTTTTCTGTTCTTGAGATGTCAACAACCCATTTCAGTTACTTTTTCTAATTTCCTGATTAGGAACTAAAGTCAACAAGAGATTGGGACTTCTTTTACATCTCTTTGCTCTGATTTTTTGCTGTGTAGGTGAATCAGAAAATACCCCACCCCCTCCTCTAGGTTTAGCAGCCAACACCCTCCCTCCGGACCCAGGGACCACTGGCGCCGCTGCCGAGTCCACCAACGGTACATCTGAGCATCACTGTGCCCTCACATCTTGTGGTGACTGTTCTGATCACCCTCCTCCATCACTGTGTCTGTCTCAAACACTTTTACAATTGATTTCTTAGTCTGCTCCCTTGGAACATTTTTTTCTAGAGATTTGAATGACATGCCCATGTTTCTTTGTTCTTCTGTCATAGTGGAGCTGTGCATGCCTTACATCCTAGTGCCCTTGAGACATTTCATCCTTAGCTCACTCACTTCTGCCTTGAAAATCTTGTCAATGTTTGACTTTTGTGTATTTAGGTCTTTAACACTCTCATTAACCATGGATTTTAGGCAATAAGTAGTAGGGTGTTTCAATCACTGCTGGTAACCAAAACCTGTAATCACACAGAGTTCTGGGTGTTAATGTGATTCCCGGAGAGGTGTTTGAGAGGGAGTGGTAGGGAGTTTATCAGTACTAACACTGGGATCCAAATACGGAGACAAGTTGGCTTTGTTCTTGATTTCGTCTCTCTAATACACTCTGGTTTCAAGCCTGAGAAATTCTTAGGGTCTAGATCAAGAGCAGAGCTAGTAAAACTTTGCTTCATTTAATGATTTTAGAAATTCAACCCATTTTTGGCTGGCAAAGAAAAAACAATATGTAAACAGGATGCAGTAGTTACCAGCAATGCAGAAGGTCAAATTATAGCAGTAGGAATAAATATCCTTGGTTTCCAACATTCCTTTGTCAAAGAATAATCCTTATTGGTGCTGCTGAGTAGCAGAGACTTCTGCTACACTGGCTAAGTTGACTGTAGTGTGGGCACCAGCCTTCCCCCATCAGAGGGGTGTAGGTAGAGTTGATAATAACCCTTTGGGAATTGCGGCCAGGGTTGGGTGAGTGTGGTACTTGGGCACACAATTTCAGGGAGGACCAAAAATCTCAATGATCAAGATAAAATAATATTTTAATAAATCAAAATTAATGCAAAGTGATCTGTGATGAACAAAATACCAAATTTATAAAGACCAGTGCCATACTGAGCCATATGAGAGCCTGAGGCAAAATGGAAAATATGTACCCTTGTATGTGTGGTTTGATGTAATTTCTAATGATTCATTTTTTCCAGAATATTATAGTTCAAAAAAACACTAAATCTGAAAAGTACTTGTATTAAAATTCATATCATTTTAAGTTTAAATATTTTATTTATACCCAAACAGAATTTATTGTAATTTTACTTCAGCTGTAGTTAATTAAAAATTATTTAAGATTATCACATCGTCAGGAGAAATTGTCAAACAGGCAATTCTCTCATTTGAAAACAAGATGAAGAGAGGAGTAGATTTTGAAAATATTACTGACGAGTTTGTTTCCTTTAAAGCCAGCACACACATCTTTTCTGCCTCAGGCTCCGATAGGGGTTGGCAGGCCACTGTGAGCACTTCTGCATCTGCTGTAACGTTCAATTTAGAAACCAGTCTAAAATCATGGCGGGAAGTTAAGAACACCAAACCTGGGACCACATGTTAAAATCCTAACCATAAGATAGCCATAGCATTTGAGAAAGGTCTACTGTAACCCCGTCTGTTGATAAGAGGAAGAGACCGACCGCCACAGGTTTTCTGCTTTAACTACAGTTCCTTGCCTTACGTATGACTTCGTCCACCAACCTAAGCTATAGATAATCTTTGGAAAAAGTTCGGTTTTGGCTCACCCAGTCTGTCAGACCATAGAATGTTTTCCAGTGGTGATTTGTCTCTGGGTCCAGGTTGGTTCTATTTTCGTGTGGTCTGAATATACTTAAAAGTCACTGGGCACAAGGAAATGATTTGCTGGTGGGTTTGGCATGGCTTTAGAGTGAAGTTGAATATCAGAAATTGAAGAAAAGAACAGAGTTAAGAAATGGAAGAGAAAATCTTGATTCAGACAGGTTGCTGCTGTAGCCCGAGCATTTCCAGATAAGCTAAGTAGACAGCAGGGTGATGGGAGCAGTGTGCTATGCCACAGTGGTTAGGAGGCGTGTGGATGAGGACAGGAAGAAGACTTTGGGATATGTGTTTCTCAGTCTACAGTGGTATGAATACCAATGTCTTTAATGCATTTCTCTGCAGCATGTGACAAACTTTCAACATCAACCATGAATTTGCCAAAGCAGACGGAGCCTCCCATGAGTAAGCGTCTGTCTTCATCCACCGTGGCAATATCCTATTCCCCAGACCGAGGCAAGTGAATGTGTAGACCTGGTCTCTCTGGTTTTCTTCTTTCTAGTGTGAGCATCTTAATGTCGGTCTTTGGGAGAGCCCCTCTTGAGCCTTCTGCAAATACCTCCATTATCCTAGCCTTGTGGTCTGAGTGTGGGAGCCCCAAGGCCTCACTAATGGGACTTTGGAAAGTGGCATTGCTCTTTAGAGCCCAGTCGTTGTTGAATAGGGACAGGAATTAATGATAATATCCCAGTCTGAAAGAAACTCTTCCATTTTCCACAGTGCATATAGAAGTTTTCTTACCCTGGATTTAAGTGACCAGTGGGCAGGTGTGACTTTAAAAAAGTAACTGCCCAGTTATTGATGTGCTACAGTTGATTAGCCAGGAATATCAAAATTGATGAGGCAGAAGTATGTGGAAGACTGAGATGTGTGAAAAAATGGGGCTATGCTATTGTCTGTGCTTTGTAGGCCTGCCCATTTCTGTTCTGAAAACATGAGTTCAGAAGGAATATGAAGCCTTTTAAAGGGGAAAAGGTTGGGTGGCCTTTTCCAGCACTCTGTTTTGAGGTGGAAGATGATATGTATAAAGACGTGTGCTGGTCCCAGAAATGGAATAGATTTAAAACTGCCTGTGTTCTAATGGAGGCTCAGATAAGTCACTCAAAGTCTGAATTTATACTTTTCTGAGTATGTAGGTGAAGGAAGGGAGGGAAGCTCTCCATGCATTAAATGCATATTTTAAAGCATCACTGAAGAAGTGTCAGATGCCAGTGCAGTATTTAACATGCCAAGTCATTAGCAAGGGGCAAGCAGGAGGATATCTGTGGCTTTGATGGGGCCAGTGTGACTTCCTGGTTGTTTTTCACTGGCATTGACCTTGCACCTCCAGCACAGAGGCCTGTCATGTGTGTCAGAGAGCCCATAAGTGTCAGTGTTGCTGATCTCTGAGGCAGTTCATGGATCAACACCTGAAACCTTGAATTAAGAGCTGAGTGAGAAAATATCTACATGCTCTTAACTCTATATAGCTGTTCCATTAGTGAGTGTATTCCATATGTTTTAGTAGTTCACGTGGTTACAAATTGATGTTAAATTTGTATTTGCATTGATTAATATGTAAAGATATCAGTATGTTATTACATACTGCTAGCAACTGAGTTATCTGCTTGTGGATTATAAACTGAAAATTTTTAATTCCCAAACCATTTCCTGGCTAGTGGGTACCCAAAGAATTCTGGGTGATGGAAAAGTGAATCTGTTTACCTTATAATATGTTCCCAAATCATAAAAATGACATTTCAGTCACTGAATCTTAGATAATGAATACTACTATGTCCATTAAAGTTGATAATCAGTTGGCTGTCTTTATTTTTGTGTTTCTTATTTAATTTCTGCCCTTATTTACATGGAAAAGGTATGAAAGGATATGTATTTATACATTAATAATATCAGTGTGTTATGAAATATTTTTTAACAGTTAATTAAAGAATTTATTTTTTTGAAGAAATAGTTTTCAGTAAATTTTGTAATCTGACTTAACAATGTCTTCTATAGTTAGTTAAATTTCATCAGATCAGTTATCACGTAGACTAAATATTGCAACAAATCTCATTTCATGTCATTTTCCATCCCTTTTCTTTTCAACGTTAAATCATTACTACTTTACTCAAGCCTGAAATCCAGGCTTGCCCCACCCACACCTTCCAGCAGATGACCTTGCTTCCTACTTATTATGAAATATTTTTTAACAGAGGACCTAAAACAAGTGTTTTGTAGAAGTAATCTTTTTTTCAATGTTAGATCTACTTGGTGACTAAATGGCTTCTTGAGTCCATATTACACCTTGGGAGATGGGCTAATCTCTTTGAGTGATAGAGGTAATACTGTTGTACTGTAATTGCATATTGAATGAATTCTGGCACTCCAAGAGAATTAATGCACACTCTCAAACTCTAAATGACACATCGTTTGCTTTATTTTACTATGACCAACTCTGAAGCCATTCTTTCCTAGAATATTTTTATTTTTCACATTTGCTCTACCACCCAAGTTAATTTGCATCATGCAGTGTTATTTTAGACATTTTATTTTGCTTTGTTTTGATTTTGCTTTTTAAAGTTTTCATTTGATTCCATCCTTCAGCTCATCGCACGCACCTTAGTCCCATGGAAACCTTTCTTGTTAAGCGACTGTTGACACCCACACAGGCTTCTCTAGCCAGAAGCGGAAATGCATTCATGCTCTCTGAGCAGGCCAGTGACTCAGGTAAAAGAGGCCGGAGTTGGAGACACTGAAGAAAATGCCCCAAGTGGTGTTGATTGGCCTGTGAATTATTCCTGGGTTTTTGAATTTTGCATTCCTTTTGCTGGCTTTATGAAATTTCTTCAACAGTTACAGATATTTTCTACCCACCAGTGTTTTGCTGTTGTTATGTTTCTTTTAAGTGTCACAGAGGTGAGTAAATTATTCTATGATAGCATGTGGATTAGAAAGGAAAAATCCATTTCATGAGCCATGGAAGTTAGACTTTTTTTTTTTAAGAGACAATTTGGCAAAGTAGCCTGTAAGCCAGTTTCTCGAGTCCCATAACCAGCTCTACCACTTACTAGCTCTTACCACTTTGGGTAAGTTAATTAACCTCTCCAAGCTTTAGTTTTCCCATCTATAAAATGGAGTCATTTTAAATTATCATGAGGATTAAATGAGATAGCACAGTAAGTAAGAGCTTACCACATGTCGGAGCCTTGCTGCTCAAGGGGTAACGCGGGACCCAGCAATGTTGGCATCACCCGGGAGCTTGTTAAGAAAGCAGACTCTCACGCCCCATCAGATGGGTACAATAAAGTCTGAGAAACACTGGGCCATACCATCAAAGCCCTTCCTTGGCCGAATCTGATTAGTTGTCATGGCTAGATTAATAAGGACTGGTATTCTCCATTTTATAGATGAGCAATGCTGTATCCACATTAGGTCAGGTTTGATTTCAGTTCCCGAGATAGTGTATTCAGTGAGATGACATGTAAATGACATATAATCCTCTGCTAGGTGCTAGCTGTTTCTGAGTAATTGTGCTATTTCTGCAAAGAAGATACACAAGTGGCCACTATACACACAAGATATTCAACATCATTAGTCATTAGAGAAATGCAAATCAAAACCACAATGAGATAGCACTTCATACTTACTAAGATGGCTAAAATTCAAAGGAAAATAATAAGCATTGATGAGGATTTGGAGAAGTTGTTGCCTTTATATGTTACTGGTGGGAGTGTAAAATGGTACCATCTCTTTGGGAAATAGTCTGGCAAGTTCCTCAAAAAGTTAAACATAAAGTTACCTTATGACCCAACAATTCTACTCTTAGGTATAGAGCCAAGGAAATTGAAAACATATGTTCAGTTATAAATTTGTATACCAGTGTTCTTAGCATCATTCATATTAGCCACAAAGTGGAAACAACCCAATCAATCCAAATGTCTATCATCAACAGATAACTGGGGAAGCAAAATGTGGTCTATCCAAAAAGTAGAATAGTATTCAGCTATAAAAAGTAATGAATTACTGATACATGCTGCATAACGAACCTTGAAAACATTATGCAAATCCAGAGAGAGTAGATTACTGGTTGCTAGGGACTGGAGGAGGAGGGAAAGGGGAGGGAACCCTTAATGGCTATGGGTTTCTTTTGGGGTTGTTGAAAATGTTCTGGAATTGGACTGTAGTTATGGTTACACAACCTTGTGAATATACTAAAAACCACTAAATTGTACACTTTAAAAAAAGTGAATTTTATAGTATATGAATTATATCTCAAAAAGGTCTAGGGAAGTCAAAAGTATCCCCATTTTGAGAACAAGGAATTTATCAGGAGGTCCTGAAGATTGATCACTCTCAGGATTGATGATTCTGTGGGAGCACTCATAATTTATTTCAGTGAAAGGCTACAGAGCATATGAGAAAGGGGGAAAGGCACATGGGACAAAGTCTAGGCAAGACCAGGCCCAAGCTTCCAGAGTCCTCTCCCAATGGAGTCCCGCAGAACACATTCCCATGGCTATGAGTTGTAACATATACATCATGTTGCCCACCAGGAAAGCTTATTAGAGACTCAGTGCCTGGGTTTTTATTGGGGGCTGGTCACATAGACACCCCCTGCCAGGCACATACTGGAATTCCAGACTTTCAGAAAGAAATCAGGTGTTTAGCATAAATCATGTTGTTTGTATAAACAGGTTAGGCACAGGGAGCCACTCTTAACAATTTATGGTGGGAATCCTCCCAAAATCCAAGTCTCCTGATACCAGGGCCAACCTTGTAAGCCAGCCTTTCGAAGGACAGCAGTCAGGCCTACTATGTTTTCTGTTTTCTTTTCTGCCCAGTCCACCCCCATGTCCCTTGGTCAAGACAAGAATTAACAGTTTATGGTGGGAATCCTCCCCAAATCCAAGTCCCCTGATGCCAAGGGGCATCTTCACAGCAGAATTATTATGGTAGAACACCACACAGCAGACTGAGGCCCATCTGCAGTATTGCTCTCACACCCTTTGGGGGTCCTGGATATAGCCAATTAAAATACAGACCATTAACCATAAAGGTCTGTCTGAGAAAGCCAGCTGGCTTCCTCCGAAAGCTTGAATCCTTTCTGCTTGGCCCGAGGCAACAATTCAGGCCCAGCACAGCTCTGGCTAGTAAGATGATGCCGACCCAGTGCCTCCCAGGGCTGAGGCAGTGCCATGATGATCTGAGCATGCACCCAAGATATAATCCCAGAGGACACATGTCCCCTAAAAATAGAGAGTCCCCATGGTGGCTGCCACCATGATTTCTCCCACCCCAGGGTTTTCAGTCCAGTCCTAGAGATTCAGTTCAGTCCTTGCCTTCAGAGGGACTGCCTGAGGTGGTCAGTTCCAAACAGTTCTGCCAGTGATGCAATCTCATTGCCTGCCAAGTGTGGATGGCATGTGTAGGTGTTCTGTGGGGATGTACAGGAACTGGCTTGCCCCTGCCACATGCCACCCGGGCTCTGCAATCCGTGAGAATCTGACGTACTTTTGGCAGTTTGCAGAGACCACAGGCCTTTCCTTCAGGAAGAGGGGAGAGTTCCTAGGATCGATTCTGGAAAACAAAGATCACTGATGCCCCCCGCCGCCACACATATACACACGTGCAGGTGGTGGGCATTGTTCTCCGTTACCAGTGTGCCCTGTTCAGTAATCAGACCTTTACATTTTCTCAATCACCCTGTACTCTCACACATGGACCTTTCATCTGGAAGGGTTGAATGCAAGAAGGTCAAGTATGTTTTACAAAAAAAGTCATCCAATTTAATAAAAAATACATATCATATTCAGGAATTAGGACAAAATCCTGCATTATTAAAAAAATTTTAAATAGACTTGTATAACCTGACATCTCTTTGATCTTGTTCGTTTATCTAGTTAACAGCCTAGAAATGATCAGTCCCTTTGCAGGGACGGAAGCATTTAACAAATTGCTTCCTGGGGTGTGTGCAGCAGGAGGTGAGCAAAGTAGAGTCAGGCTGTCAGTCATACAGCAGACATCTTGCCAGCAGCAGTGACACAGCCCCCAGAGGGGGTCAAGGCCAATCAGCAGGGTTGGGGGAAGGGGTCCCACTCCCTCGAAGTGCCCTCTCCCAGCTTGTAGCTTTGGTAAGAATTACAAGTGAGAAATGTAACCAGGCTCTGCATCAAGAGCTGACCAGTGGCTCCATGTCAGGTGGTTCCATCAGAGAAGAAGCCCTTTCCTGCGGCATTTGTCTGTGATCCAAATGGTGCAGCCAGCATCTGTGATGTTTTTACAGGGTAGGGCCCCACTGAAGGGTGTTCTACATCTGCAGTGCACTTTTGAACTCCAAATGTGTATATCTACCTGAAGATTGCCTCTCTTTTCATGTCTCCCTTTTTTTCTAGAGGCCCTGTTATACCAAAATCATAGCAAAATCATCAGGTGTGGATACTTGTGGTTCCAAAACTCAGTGTTCCAGCCTAACCACTGATGGCCACTTGGAGTAGAAAGCACAAACCAAAGGTGTCACCTGGGCTCACTTTTTCCCTCACTACAGCCAAAAGCAGCCAGAGGACCCTGTGAGCCAACTCTTGGAGTTGAATGGGTCATCTTCAAGTTGCGTAGGTGTTTCACCTCTTGTAACAGACAGCAGCAGCTTGGCTGCTTTTCCATATGGTGGATGACTCCGAGGCCCCCAGCCCCCAGAGGGGCATCATCCTCCACCCCTTTATGCTTTCCTTCCCCGAACAAAGCTTTTACTACATATCAGCAAATCATCATTGTTGTGGTTCCTGTTTCTGGTACCAGTTGTGTCAGGCGTCCCCAAGGCCACCCCCAGACTCAGAGGACCCAGCATATGGTGGCCCTCCCAGCTGTGGTGTGTCACAGTGGAGGGCTACACAGCACAATCAGCACAGGGAATTGGCACATGGGCACCATGCAGACCTGTGACAGCACATGTGAAATGTTGCCCACCAGGGAAGCTCCCTAGAAACTTAGTGTCCAGGGTTTTTACTAGGGGCTGGTCACATAGGTGCCCCCTTGCCAGCCACATACCCAAGTTCCAACTCTCAGAAGGAAAGCAGGATAAGTCATATTTGTACCAACAGCTTAGGCACACTGAGCTGTTCGTCAGTTAATAGTGAGAACCCTCCTGAAATCCAAGTTCCCAGTTGCCCACGAAGGGCCAACCTTGGAAGCGGGCCTTTGCTGGGACAGCAGTCAGGCCTTTTAACTTCCCTACACAAGGAACTTATGTTTAGAGAGGTTAATTAATATGCCCAAGGTGATCAGCTCTTAGGTGACAGTAGGTCTGTCTGGCTCCAAAGCCCAGAGTTGAAACTCCTGAAGTGAACTGTACTCTTGAGCATCAAGCACAGGAGTCCTTTAGGATAGGGTCCATTCTGCATGGACTAGAGAAAGTATGGTGGCCTTCTGAGAATATGGGTTGCCCATGTCATATTTTAACAGAAATGTGTTCTTCCCAACTCCCCGCTTGCCTCTGGTTTCTCCTCTGTACTCCATCTCTTTGGCTGTTATACTGTAACTCTCCCGTATCCCATGCCTGTCCTCATGTAGCTCCTGCTGGCCCTCTTAAATCTTCCTACAAGTCTTCTCCCACTCGGAACACTGAGAGGAAGAAGACTACGCCTACATCTGGCACAGGAGATGCTGGGAAAGGAGCCCCTGTAGGAGCAGAGGCCTCTCCGGTAAGTCTAAAGCCACTCACGGCTCAGGACTGGTTTTATCTGACGTGTGGTTACTCCCTGCGCTTGATCTGGGGGTCTCTGTTTTCGTCAGTCTCCAAGGACTGCTCAAGGGGTGGATTTGTTTTAAAATTTCACCCAACCTTTGAAAACCATTCTAATTTTTTACACCTGCCTAAATCTGAGTGCTTTGGAAGATATTCCTAAAGACCTTGTCCGCATTATAGCCTGCCCTCCAGAGGACAGGAGTGAGAAGGCGTGGTCTGAGTGTGTCTCTGCTTTTTTAAGGATGTTTGATTTGGGGCCAGTCTTGTCTCTACACACAACTAGATCTGAAGTTCTGGGTGAACCTTCATCCATAACAGTGGCCTTTAGACATTTTTGGCATCATACTGACACCATCAATAAAACAAATGTTGAGCAGATACCTCCAATTTTGCATATCTATTTAGAAATTATGTATACCATACTACTTTTGTTAGTTATCACTTGCAACATAACGAATTACCCCAAACCTTGGTAGCTTAAAACAAATGTTTATTACTTCACTGGTTCTCTGGGTCAGAAATTAAGAATGGCTTAGCTGGATGGTTCTGTTCTCAGTCAGGGTCTCTCATGAGGGTGCGGTCAGGATGGCAGCCAGGGCTGCAGTCATCTGAGAGCTTGGTTGGGGCTCTTCCAGGACGGCTCGCTCACATGGCTGTTGGCAGGATGTCTCAGTTCCTTACTGTGTGGACCTCTTCATAGAGCTATTGGGGTGTCCAAGTGACATGGAAGCTGGCTCCTGGAGCAAGAGATCCGGGAGAGAAAGAGGATGAGTGTGCAAGGAGGAAGCTGCAGCGCCTGTTATGCTCTAGTCTGAGGCTTTGCACACCATCATTTTTGCCATTTGATGTTCCTTTAAAGCTAGGCACTAAGCCCAACCCACACTCAAGGGGAAGGGAACTGAGCACCTCTTGAAGGGGAGAACATCAAATGACATGTGGACTTACTTTAAAACCACCACGTTACTGTGCTGTTGCTCATTTATTTTATAGCACCACTTATATATTTTTTAATCCACTGGCGTCCTGAGGTTCTCACAGGGTCTTGAGAAGTGAGTGTTTCAGACCCTTGGGTTTTTCTGTAGGGTAGATTGCTGTGGAAGGGGACTATCATGTGTGGGTATGGGGGGCCAAATGAGGATTTAGTGCAGGAAAGTGCAATAGGGAGAGAAGGAAACCACTGCTGTGGAGTGCCCACTGCAGGCCAGCCCTGAGGCCCATGCCTCTTGCTGTTGGAGGTCATGGGGAAGACACAGAGGGATGGGTGGGGTTGTAGTCCCTGATATACTAGGTACACTGGTAGGGTCCACAACTCTGTCTTAGTGTTACAACCACATTTATAACCCCTGTAACTTTTGTGTAGTGATTATATATCTCTGTATTCTTTCTACTTTCTGTGTGTTCAGTACCATGATATGGTTCTGTTGTTCGCCTTTTGTAAGAAAACAAGGAGAAGGAGATCTTTGCATTTTGAGATTGAAGTTTCTTTTTTTTAAGTGGATGACCTAATATCCGAGGTATTTTAAAAAATTGGAGAAGTGGGCCAGTCATGGGCCATGGCTGTTCTATTTTGTGTCCCCTACAGACAGAGAAGTTGAAGCGGGGGCCGCGAACAACAACTTCCACTCCCAGTGTGGGCCATGGGTCGCCTCTGAGAAGATGCGAGCTTCCAGGAGGCATTTCTAAGAGGTCGTCTTCTCCTGTGACATCCAAGTAAGTGTCTTCCTCCTCTGCCTCAGTCAGGTGAGGAAAACAGTTTGGTGGGGCTCTGTGCAGTGCAGTGTGAGCCTCCTGCTCCCCCACATGCCATGGCTGGCCGACCCTAGGAGGCAAGCATGAGGAAACTGGGCTTTGAGTTCACTGCTTTCACTCTCCATGTATCTTCTGGATGGGTGATGGACTCTTAAGGGGTTTGTTGCCTAGGAAATACAGGACTCTGATTTACTGAGATGATCCATTCAGCATTTTCTTTTTAGGCCCATCAGCTTCATTCTGCTTTTCTGGCATTCTTCTTTCTCCTTCAACTGCATATGGAAGAAAGTGATTGCATGTGCAGTGGCACTCGCCCTGGCTCTTGCTCTTGTGTGTGCACTCCCACCGCTTGCTCTCTGTCTCTGTCTCTCTTTCTTTGTCTCTCTCCCTCTCTCTTGCATCTGTCTCTTTAACAGAGAGATAATGACTTGTCAACCACTGTCAATAGTACACATTTTAAAAAATGAAGCCATTATATTAAGAATTGAATGAGTGCACCAATGAAACCGTATAACCAGAAAACAAATTTACACTGTATGACCACTGTCTTAAGTTATTAAAATATTTTACTGATAGTAACTGATAAGAATGACTTGGTAAACAACTCAATCCAGCGGTAGAATGGGAATATCCTCAGTAAGACTGAGAGAAAGAGAAATAAGATTTTAATTTGGGAAAATAGTAAACTTTTTATATAAAGAGAATCCAATGAAATTTGTTTATTTAGTACATCAGTTTGATTCAGAGAAAATAGTATTTAAAAATTTTTTTATTGTAATATAATCTATCCACAGTATTATATTGGTTTCAGGTATACAACATAATGATTCAACAATTACATACATTACTGGATGTTCACTATAGGAAGTGTAGTTACCAGCTGTCATGATTCCAAGATACTACACTATTATTGGCTATATTCCCTATACTGTACTTCCATCCAGAGAAAATAGGGTAAAATACAAATTAATGAATACTTGGGAATTTGTTAAAAATACTTTCAGGTGACATCAGCTCTTATTTCTAATTTGATCCTTTCTAACAGAGACTATTTCACAGTTACTTTGCTCAGAGGTCAATATGGTTTTTATAAATGAATATCTGCTATTGATGTATCTGTCTTCCATTAAGAAAATCCTTCCATATCACATTGCTGAATTAATAGCATCTTGGGGCTTTTTTTTAAAGTCTGTTAGTCTTTTTTGTGCTCGTATTGTCTGTCTTAGGTTATGGTATTGTTCTCTTGAAAACTGTAAATCCATTAGATGGATTGTAAGGTCTCTGTCTTTGTCTTATTTTTGAGCCTTCCATTCAGGTGTCACTACTCTGGTGTTAGGCTGGGACACCATTTGACATTAATGGAGAGAAAAGCCTATTTCTACCAGGGTTTTTCCAGATTCCACCCCTCTCTTTCCTGGATATTGACTTAGGGTCCCTGCATGGAGGGTAGCTAGCAAGTTTCATCATCTTCATTGGAAATTTCACTAAGGTGAACAAGGGGGTGGTTGTCCTCTATAGAGGTGAGAAATCAGTTTTTGGAAGCAAACCTGTAATGGGCTCTGTGCTATTTCTTTGAAGTTGAAAATCCTGAAGATTTTGTGTTTCAAAACTATTTTATGTTTTACTTTTTTTATGGAGGTTCAATTGACAGATAACATTATATTAGTTTCAGTTATACAACATAATGATTCAGTATTTGTATACCTATGAAAAGATCTCCATAATAAGTCTATCCATCACCATAAATAATAACAAAAAATTCTTCTCTTTTTTGTCTTGTGATGAAGACTTCTAAGGTTTATTCTCTTAGCAATTTTGAAATGTACAGTACAGTCTCCTTAACTATACTGCTGCATATTACATCCCTAGGATTTATCTCATAACTCTGAGTTTGTGCCTTTTGACCCCCTTCACACATTTCACTCTTGCTCCCCATCCCCCTGCAACCACCAGTCTGTTCTCTGTATCTGTGAACTTCGTTTTTTTTTTAGATTCCACATTTAAGTGAGATTATATAGTATTTGTCTTCCTCTGTCTGGCTTATTTTGCTTAGCATATGCTCTCAAGGTCCATCCACATTGTTGCAGATGGCAAGATTTCATTCTTTTTTATGGCTGAGTGATATTCCAGTGTGTGTGTGTGTGTGTGTGTGATCTTTATGGAACTATTTTATATTTTAAAGGACACATCATCTGAATTTTATAAAAAGCTCTCTCTGACCAAAGAGACTTGTAAAAGGTCCTAGACTTGTTTTATGCCATTCAATTTAGAGAGACTTAAAACATTTCCACTCTATTTAGAACAGTAATGGGTACCTAGTAGGTGCTTCATAAATGTTTGTGGAATGAAGGAACACAAGTCACTGTGCCAGATGCTTCAGAGAATCCCCAAATGAATGAGAACAGTCTCCACTTGAACTGGCCCCAACCGAGGTGAGAGGGAGATGTGGATGCAGATGGAGAAAGCTGCAGGCCTACTCCAAAGAGAGAGTTGTCTGATTGGAACTGCTCATCCCTCAGGACTCAGCTGGGCTCTGATACTCTCCAGAGCCAGCCAATGCTGGATTTGCTCCCTTCTCTGTGTTACAGCATCATGTGCATACTTCTGGCATTCATTCATTCACTCACTCCTCAAATACATACAGCGCACCTGCTCTGTGTCCAGCATTCTCCTCAGCCCTCATGGAGCTTACCTGACAGTGAACAGGGAATATAACATCAGGTGGTGAGATATTCTGTGAAGAAAAATAAAACTGGGTCAGATGACAAAGTGGCGGAGGGGAGTAGCTAGATAAAGTGGTCAGGAAGTCTCTGAGGAGGTGACATTTGAACAGAGCCCTGCATAAAGTGAGGGAGCAGGCCGTGCTGCTCTGTGCCTAGTGGCACCACTGCTAGACTGCCACGAGTGGAGTCATAGAGACGGCTGGATGTATTGTGGCACAGTAGAAGCTTAATATGTCCCTGCAGGAGGAAAGCCAGAAGGGAAGTAGAGCCGAGAGGGCAGGAGTGGGGTTGGCTGGGGGAGTAGCCAGTGCTAAGACCAACCCTGCCCAAGGACTCTGGCTCTTTGCCTCCTCTTCCCTTCTGGACCATTCATCAGTTTATTCTCCCACCAATCACCTTCTTAATGTTCTCCTTTCTGGGCTGCATATTTCACTTGGGAAATTTTTAAAGGTTGAGGGATGCCATCTTCTGTGTGGTGCAGCAGGGTATTCCTGCCACTTTAAGAAAGAGAAATTAATGGAATGGCCTTTATTTCCAGAGCTCTATATATGTCATCTCTATTGCAGGTGGGAAAAATAGTAAACAGCATAGCTGAACTTTCATGTGCACAGGCAAAACTACCAGAATCATTATCTCCTAAGAGGTGCCTTGGGGGTAGAAGATTCCCTGGTACCTCTGAATCAGAATTACCATAGTGAGAGGCCTAAGGAAAAGCAAATTTTTCTTTTGATTTTAAGATCTTCAGAAAGAAGGATAGTTTCTCCCTGGGTGAAGATTAGTAGCTGAACTGCACTGGCCATGGACCAGGTCTGAGGAATGTGAGAAGTCAGATAGACTGTAAATAAATTTACAGTAAAATCCAAGCAGTAAAAAAGAACACACTGCAACTGCTCACAAAGTACATAGACCTCAGGATCATAGTACTGAGCAGAAAAAGGAAGTTGCAGAAGAATTTCAACAGTATGATACCATTTATATTGAGTTCCCAGATGTACAAAACTAAACAATGTGTTTTTAAGACTGTAAATGTGGAAAAATGATTTTTAGAAAAAGTAAGAAAATGACAAACAAAGTGCAAAGTGACGATGGATGGCCTCTGAGGCAGGGAGTGAGTCAGGGAGGTGCTCATGGGAGATTCCGTGTAATGCCTCTCCTTTGAACTACATTGGTGGATGTATAGGCATTTGTTATATTAGGGGGGGTGTTGAGTTTATTTTCCTCGGTTCTTGTTCCTGCTGTAACAAAGAATTGAAGGGCAGAGACATAGTAGTGAAACAGAGTAAGAGTTTTATTTGAATGCACTCCAAGAGAGGAAGGGGCCTGAATAAAGGTAGGTAAAGGCAAGTTTACTTGAATAAAGCCGAGAGGAAGGAAAAATGGAGGAAAGGGAAGCTCATTGAACTGCTGCTCAGCCTAAGGGCATAATCCATTGCCAACTCCTGAAGCCCTGTCACCTGGCTTCCAGTGTCCACTTGAATCTGCATGGCATGGGAGCCGAGTCCCTACTACCACCCCAGGATTTGGGGGAGCTGCAGAGCATTGGATGGCGTGAGATGATGTTCTGAGAACTTCCCAAAAGCAAAGAAAAGAGATTTTCAGGCAGGCTACTAAAGAGCATGATCGTATAGCTGCAGTTCTGTCCGGGTCACCCAGGCGACAGGAACTTGCAAGCTCCAAGTCTGAGCTCTCAGCAGCCCCTCCCTACTTATCAGGAGTAAAGCGAAGACTTAGAAATAGAATGAAATAGCAAAGAAACAAAGACCCTTACCACTGGAAAAGCACAGAGAGAGAAAACACAATTAAGCTGAGCAGTGAGAAGCTTTATTTAAAGTTACCCACTGAAAGAGAGAAAAAATGTGGGCATCCTCAGAGAGGAGGCATTTAAGGGTTTGGGGTCTGGGGTTTCACAGGCTGTTAAAGATTTTTCAGGGATATGACAAAGAGCTGAGGGGTGTAGACTTGTCAAGTGGTCTCAAGATGCTTAGCTCTGGTGAGAGACACCATGTCTCCTCTCCTCTGTTATCAGTCCTTCAAATAATTCTGCAAAATTAACTTCATACAAGAAATTTACTGATCCAGTTCCTCCCCAGGATAGCAGCTTTCCTCTGGGAACATGTCAGTCAAGACCACCTCCCTTGCCCCCAGGGTGGGCTGAGTTATTGTCTGCTGAAGAATATGTTAGGAATCTTACTTCCTAACTTCCTGGCTTATAAAATGGAATCTTAGCTTTAAGATGAG